TAGAAGATCAGGACCAGCCTTGACTATACAGCAAATTCCAGGCCACCCTCAGGCTACAAGAGTAACATAACTATGCCTGATTCAAAAGGCAACACAGAACAGAACAAAAACCCAGTAACTCAAAGAATCCTTTGAACAATAAGGTTCCTGAACACAACAGGGTTCCTGGGGTGTGTGGAGTCCTGCATCCCACCTGTACCTCTTACTGAGTAAGGGTATCTGGCTGTTTATCTGTATTTTCCCACTACAGACCAGAAACACCACAGTGTTTTCCAGAGTTCTGTGTTGTTCTAGAGAATTCTCAATCCTGAGTGTGGTTATGGGAGCTTCCTGAAATTTGTAATCCTATAAATGAGTAGCCTGGGGACCCTTTTTTCAGCTAGTATCTCAAGTAGAGGAAGTGGTTTGGACCTGCTTACTGTGTGTGGCATCTATGCTGTTTCTGGGGAATGTCAGAAATTAGACTGAATTGTACAGTGCCCAGATACTATCAGAGACAAGACAAAGGGCATGGAAAACAATAGTACTAGGAACAGGGACTTGGGTGTGACTGCTGCCACTGACCTCCTGCTTGCTGTAAAGGTGCACGTGTGTGGTTGCTCTTTCGTAGATACAAAGCTGAGCAAGTATCTTAGGGTTTCTACTGCTGTGAAGAGACATTATGACTGAGGCAACTCTTACAAAGGAAGGTATTTAATTGGGGCTGGCTTACAGGTTCAGGGGTTCAGTCCAGTATTATCATGCCAGGAATCATAGCAGCAGGCAGGCAAACATGGTGCTGTAGGAGCCAAGAGTTCTACATCTTCACCAAAAGGAAGACAGGAGCAGACTTTCTCCAGGCAGCTAGGAGGAAGGTCTCAAAGCCCATACTCACAGTGACACACTTCCTCCAACAAGGCCTGGTTTCCTTATAGTGCCCCTCCCTGGGCCAACCATGTTCAAAACACCATAGTAAGGGTAGAGTCTGTCTCAGCCAGCTCAATCCATTGAAAGTGACCAGGAAGGACAGGCACGGTATACATTTAGTCTCAGCTTTCAGGAGGCAGAGGCAGGCAGATCTCTGAGTTCCAGGCCTGCCTGATCTTACAGAGAGGATTCCGGAACAGACAGGGTTACACAGAGAAACCCTGTCTCAAGAAAATAAATACATAAAACAGATAAATAAGGAAAAGTGTACAAGGTGTGGGAGGCCCCGTTCATGTCTATTCGGCTCATCCTGTTCTATCACTCAACACACTCTTGATACTGCCTGCTATTATTCCCAGTTTGTACCGGAAGGAACTGAGGCAGAAGAACATTAAGAAAAAGGCCCAGACCCTTTGGTCAGGGACAGGCAAAGCAGGATTTGAGTTAAAATTGACAGCAGATGCTAAGGTTACTGAGTCTGCAATGGAGAATTTTCAATCTGAATGGCTTAAAATGAGAGGAGTCAGACTGGGGATTAGCTCGATACATGCCTCCACATGAGATGTCTTGAGTTCCATTTCCAGCACTGGAAAACTGAAGTAACAGAAGTTTACCCTTTTACATATCTGGAGGCTGGCCACCTGAAATCAAAGTTTCAGCAAGGCTGGCTCTTTATGCTAAGGGAGAGTCCTACACACCCTTCCCCTAGCCCTCGAACTTGGTGTAAATGTGTCACTGCTTCTGCCTCTGTGTCACTTCTGGTTGGCCTTGAACTCACTATGTAGTGGAGGTTGTCTTGAATTTCTGATCCTCTTGCCTCCACCGGAGATTATAGGTGTGTACCATGCCCTGTTTCATGCTATGCTGGGGACAGTACCCAAGGTTTTTGTACATACAAGGCAAGCATCATCAGATCACAGCTGTCATCCTCCAAGTTCCTTTTGGTGAGGACACCAATGAATAAATTTAGGGCCACTCTGATCCAGTACAGCTTAATCTTGGTTCCATCTGAAGATGCCCTATTTCCTCATATGGGAATTTCTAGAACTTCATTGCATCTTTTCGGAGGACATGTTTCAGTTTGTTTCTGCATAGCAACCCTATAGGATGCTGCCCAGCTAACACATGTAACATGTCCATGTTGGGCCAGGACGACCACCCGCTCAGTAGCCACCTGGGCCACTCAGGTCCTGGATGAAATGGATGGGCTAAAAAGTGCAGGCTCACAGGGAGGGCTGAGATGAAGGAGCTAGGCTCCAGGCTCTTCCCTAGGGGGATGGGAGGCCTGTGGTAGAGCCTAGGTGGACCACCCAGGATGCATGGGCAAGGGAAGGGGGCATTTTTCTTGGCCGCTAACCAGCAGCATGGTTTCAATCACCTTGACAGCAAAACCTCAAGCTTCAAATCTGGGCTAACAATGCTTTGTTTTTCTTGCTAATCAAGACTCTAGCTTTTGGCTCATGGTAACAAAGATTTCAACAGCCACAGCTAAAAAGGCTGTTAGCTCCTTCCTGGAAGACATGATGTTAAGCTTTCTATGGAAACAGGGCAAAGTAAATGAGACATAACCTGGGAAGAAAGGTTTTCTGGAAGGAGTAGTCATGTATCATTCAGCATCTTCAGAGAAACAAGTCATGAACTGTAAACCCAGGAAGAGTTAAGAGTACATAGAAGGTGAACTGAGGCCTCAAACTCTGCCTTGGCATTCTCTGGAATGCAGGCACATCCATCTTGATTTGGGTCAAGGATCAGATAGGAACTCATTGCTGTAAACAGGTTGGTTGAAGCTGGTCCGTTTCATGTTTTGTCACACAAAGAGAATGCATTTAGCTACCATGTATCCATTTGGTGACTCCTGAAATGTATTTTGTTTTCCCCCAGGGTTCTCATGAAACACTGCCTGCACATTTAAGCAGTCCTTGCTTCTAAGGCCAAGCAAGCAAAACTGCCAGAGAACAACAGCTTCCAGGTTTCACTTAGCAAGAAAATGTCCTTTGCTGTTTTAGCAATGGATTCAGTTACTAGAAACCCTAGTGGAAGATTAAACACCCCATGTGCTATCTGTTAACACTACTCTTCACCTTGTGGGCCCCCACCCCAGGGCTGGCCACAAAGACTCTTTTTCTTAGGACAAACTAAAGTTTCTGGAGTGTGACTCAGGCTAAAGTTCAGGCAGAAGGGCATTGTTTCTAGTTGGGTTTCACCTTGGGAGAGTAAATTCTTCTGAGTGGCAATCTGTCAGCTTTTATGACCTGCTGAGGCTCCCTCAGCTGTGTCCAAGCTCAGTCCCCGAGTCTCTTCTTATTCTCTTACGGCCCTACTTGGATCTGGCATGCCCTTCCCCCACCTGGGTCTGACTATTTCAGAGCTTCTTTGTCTAGAATCACAGCGTCAAGCTCCTTCCCCAAGGTGGGGTCCATGTCCAGCTACAGGTCAGTGAAGATCACCCCACACCAAGAATACCACCCTCCACTCATCCCAGTACTGGGGCCTGAACCCAAAGCAGTGTACATGCTAAGGCTGTTGTACCACAGAGCCATGTCTCAACCATCTGCTATGTAGTCATGATCTTATTAAGCTGCACAGAACGGCTTTGAACTCTGTAGTCCAGGCAGTCGTGAATGTTTTTGCTTCTGCTGCCTTAGCCTCTCTTCTATGTAGCTGAGGTTAAAAGCCTACATTGTCTGGCCCACCCCAACTTAACTTTGCTAAAGCTGTGTGGAGTCTGTTTTTTCCACTGAAGATATGCTGATTCCTTGTGGGTAGCATGCTGCTCTTCATTCAGTCCCAAGAACTGGCAAGTTAAATCTGTGTAGTTCAGCCCAAGAGCTCCATCCTCATTGCTCTCTGCCTTATAGTGGGTAGCCATCAGCCTGGCTATTGGTAGCAGCTGCCCGGTGGCTTCTTGCTTCCGAAGTCTCAGGAATCCATAAAATACTGGATATCCATAAATTCCAGATAGAATCTCCTTAAATAGGGGCCATTTTCACCCTATGTTCTGCTTTAGCCACGATGAATATCTGAGGCTTTATGTGTGGTGTGGATAAACAAAAGTAGTGGCATCGAAATTAGCTGCAAACCATGTGCATACCAGTGCAGATGGCAGGTCTATCTGCTCTGTGGATATATGTGGCCTCCAAGCCCTGGTCACTTCTGGCCCTTACAACTTTGATTTTTCTCACTCAGAGATGAGTGAGTAAGCAGGTGCAGTGCAGGCAATGACTCTGGCATAGAAAGAACCTACCTGTCTCCCCAGACCCCGGCACAGGTCAGCATCAACTTAGAATAATTTCTGCTCATTGGAAAACAATCTTTGAAAACGGGAAGTCACTTTTTTCAACTTGGGAAAAAAAAGAAAGGTATAGCCTTTCAAAGGAACAGGATACTTACATGGGGGGGGGGGGGCTGGCTTTATGGAGTTCAATCACGTCAAGCTAATCTTATGTGACAGAGCAGCAGACCTGGTAGATCAAGGGGATGACAAGAGTTGGAATTTTATCTTTGTCAGCTTTGAAACTTCTGATTTCTGAGTCCTACTCAATATGATTATCATTAAATTGGTTGAAAAAATTAGAAAAGACAGGGCCAGTGATGGCTAGGGACAGAAGTGGGACTCCCCAGGGGTCAGCCTTGAGCCCTGTGGCCCTGAGCACTCACATGAACCAGCTAGAAAGAGACCGAAAGAGTCAGCATTACTGTCAAGGTGCTAGCTGGAGAAGGGGTGCAAGGGGCATGGGGATTGGGTGGGGCCTGGGTACAGATGATCAGCCAGCAATACAATCAGAGAAATAGCCTTGCAGTGACCACAGTGATCAATGCAAGCAAGGAGGCTGGAGTTGAAGCGACTCCATGCTGAGGAAGTACAACAGAGATGCACAAATGCACACTTAAATACATTAAATACACAAATGCATTACTTAAATATGATGCCAGGTGAAGACAAACAGCATGTGGGCTCGCTCTGCAGTTCTTGACCTGCCTCGACACTGTCCCCTTCCAAACTGGATATAATCGTGGGAAAGACAGGTGGATAATTCAAATGAGCCCAGAAGTAATTAAACTAGGATGGGACATGGAAAGGAAAGACAAAAAAGTTAAACAAATTAGGTTTATTGAACTTGGAGATCGACCACTTTATAAGGGCCAAACCAAACAAAAATAGAAACAGATAAGACTCCAACGCATGAGAACAAAATTAAATGTAATGAGGATTTTTGTTGGCTTTAAGGCTGATGAAACAGGCTATTAAATTAAGAGATTTCTCCAGGATGGTTTTCTGTATCCTAGCCTAAGTGGGAAAAGACCTAGATAACTTGAAAATAGCTGTCCCTCCCAATATTGTTAGAACACTACTTCAAGTGCTTATTTAAACCCATAACTGAAAATCAAGCAGCAGCTAATAAATTTAGTGTTGCACTGCCATAAGGTGTGGTTGGTTGTCATTCCTAATGAGAAGTCCAAATGCACAATAAAGATCAGCAGTGGGCCAGGCCCCTTCCAGAATCTGGGATCCCTGAACAGAGACACCCACACACTAATACAGGCAACGGGGTAATAGACTCACCACACTAATACATGCAATGGAGTTGTTCTGTCTTCCCATTTTTAAACAAGCTCTTGGTGAAGTACCTACTATAGGCAGACGGTGAGACTGGAGACTGGAGTATGTGAAACCCACCCTAAGTATGACCCCATTCAAACACTTTTCCTTGAGTAACCAGGATATGATAGGCAGGGGAAAACCTCACAACACTTTTCCTTATAATGTGGCTGAAAAGCTAATAACCACACAGTCAGTTATATAAGCATTTAATCAGTTTTTTAGAAAAGTCCCAATTAGTAAAAGTTGGCTTATTTTAACAGCCTTAAACATTGGTCACTATTTAAACAAGACATCCTAGAACAAACAAACAGAAGCAATCACATAATAGTTGATAGCAATTTACAAGAGGATGGTACACACGTAGATACAGAGGTAGAAATTCACTTTTACAATGTTTCACTAATACACATATACCAAATTCAAGGCACAAAATAGTTTGCTTTACAAAAAAATACTGTAAAAATGTTATTTGCTGTTCTACAATGTGAATAAACCTTTCAAAGAAATCTTTCCACCCTTCCACAACACTCCATACAAGATTTGTTCCCCACACTAATCAAAGTTGGCACAAATACGGGGACTTTTTAATGCAGAAACTCCCATTATCTTTATAGAACTGCTGTGTTCTGTAGACAAGGTCCCCCTCCTCCCCTGCAGCTCCAAGAGGAAAGGGCACTTTCTATATGCAGCAAAATTCACAGGTAGAAAATGTACAACCACATGGATTAACCAGGTCTCTAAAACATTTAATTTAGTATTTCAGAGATTGAATTTTAAAAAATCACCGAATATTTAGTCACTCTAAGTTTAAGAAAGAGACCCATGGCCTTCACTGTGATGCTCAGACTGTGCTGATCTCAAACTGACATAAAAAAATCCATAGACACCATGAGCAAGCCACTCAAACTTGCAGGAGAAGAACCAAGAACACACCAGAACAGGACACTCTCAGTCCTTGAATGCATAAGGTGCCAGCTGGCTAGGCTTCCACAGTAATGAATGAATTGACTTTGTGGGGACTCAGAAGACTAACACACATGAAACACACTGTAGTCATCATTTCTAGACTTTCTGTTCATTAAAAAAATAATGATGTCACATAGTGTTTGTCTAAATATTGGACTCATTTTTAGGGCCCTGTCTAAAAAAGACCCCATTGGCAAAAGCCCGAGCTCACAGTTTTCAAGCACACTAGTCAGTTAATTTACAGTTTATTATTTTTTAAAAAGTTGATTAGAAAAAAAAAAAGTCGGCATGGGGTTAGAATCCAGACTGTCAGTACTGCAGATACGCATGGCCAACCATCCTGATAGAAACGGCACTCCATACAAAAACACTCTTAGATTCCATTTTTCGCTTCATTATTGTTTGTGGCTTGTTTTCTTTGAGCAATAAAGGGATACATACACTTGTCTGCTCCTAGAAATCGATACATGCACACGACTGCTTCAAAAGGAAGGATGCTGCAAAGGAAAGAACAGTTAGCAAGTGGCAGGCCACACTTTGATTCAGGTCTGGGGCAGGCAGGGAAGGGCCCTCCCTCACTTACCTCTTCATGAATGTCACGATGTACATGAGTCGGGGGGTGCAGATCATGGGCTGGTCAGTGAGGATGGCCTTCATAGCCTGCTTCACACAGTAATCAGGCTTCAAAGGGGGCAGAAAGGGCTCAATTTCTTTTCTGAAAATTTACATTCAAAAATGAAATTCAGAATTAACACAGTATGGAAGACTGGCAATACTCCAAAGTACTGTGACATTAACTGAGGGACACGATTTTTGGAACACTTTGCTTCTTTCCTGGTATTTTTGTTTTGCCTCACATTTTCGTATTAGAAACAAACTCCATTTGTATCAAATTAGTAAACAAATTAGGAAAAAAATAAGCAAAAGTAGTTGGCTTTCCTGTAAAATGAGATCGGGTTGTTGAGATGCCTTATAAGTTAAGCTTCAAATTATTCTGATTTTTTCTTTGACTAGAAAGGTACTTGTTATTACAAATATTAAGCTCCAGCAAGCGATTCAGCTTTCTGTATTAGGTGTGGCTGAGACAGTGCATACGCATCCAAGCAGCCTTTTCTAGTGTGACACAGTCAGGGACACACCTCACAGGGCTGGCTGAGGATGTTAAGCTGTGTTCCAAGGACTCTCTGAGGTAAAGGACCACATTATAATTCACGGAATTGCATGGTAAATACATAAGAATGACACATCGTTTTACTACTCATTGCTTTCATGGCTTCCAGCCTTCGCACCTGCCACTACGCTAAGTGGAAAACAGCTTTCCTGTTGGAGCTGGGAATCAAACCCAGGCTTGCACATGCTAAGCACATGCCCCAATCCTGAGCCACACCCCAGGCCCTAGAGCCAATGTCTCAGTCTAGACTTACTGCCATCTGGAGAATGGAAGGACTCACCATTCTCTGTCCCTCGTTCTGCTAAAGAACAGTGCCCCAAGAAACAGGGGGGCTGTCCTGATCATTGTCCTTTGCCTTGCAAATTCACCCAGGCAAAGATCTCAAGTCAGCAAGTCTTCACAAGTGTCCCTGCTGAGTCACATTTGTGCTCTTCCTGTTGAGAGCCGTAAACCCAGTGTTGAGGTATTTAGATTCCCAAACGCCTCCTTCCAAGTGTGAGGGGAATTCCACTGCATTGTTAGTAAATGTAAATGGGTTTGTCTTAAGTTGAATCTAGCTACACACACTTTCTAGAAAAAAAAAAAGCTTTGAAATCTGGAGCGTGACATTCAGTCTTTTAAAGAAGATATGTTAATCCTTTGTGTCAGTGACATTGTTTTATGTCCAGATTAAAGTCACATTAAGGACTTTCCCCCTATAGCTATTATAATAGTAGAGAAATCAAATGACCCTGAGGACAGATGCAGCATCTAAGAGAAATTCTGGACATTTGTGGGTCCTCCTTAAAGATGGGGAGAAACCTATTCTGCCTGATACTCTGAAGTAATCACAGCAAGTCTGAGTCAGCTTGACATCAAACCTCACTTGTGATCTTGTGCAGGATCCTTACAAACCTGAACTGGAGAACTACAGGCTAGCTGTCCTTCCTTCTCTCAGCTAGCTCTCAAGTTGTAGCCCTGGCTGGCCTAGAACTCACCTTAGAGACTAGTCTGGTTTCCAACTTGTGACAATTGTCCTGCCCCTGGCCCTGCCCCTGGCCCTGAAGTGCTATGTGATTCCAGATGTGTGCTACCACACTCTGCTAACGCTGTCTACTGACAGCTCAAGTGCAAGCCTGGCGGACTGAAGATGAATTCCATACTCGTCCTGATGTTACTCTGTTGTATCAGTAAGAAGACAGGTTCCCACTGACCTGATCCGGCAGCCTCTGAACATGCCCGTGTCTACAAGGTAAGGGCAAACCAAAGTTGTTTTAATTCCATCCTTTTCAGCAGCCTTTAGTTCATGGCTCAGAGACTCATGAAAACCCACAACTCCAAATTTACTGGCACAGTAATCCTGAGCAAGAGAAGAGAGAACAGAAAGGGTGAGTCTACACATGTTTCCATCCAAATCTGCAGCTTCCTGTCCTGTCTGGCTAGATGTTTATTACAAAAGGTTATAGGTAACGAAGCAAAGAGACGGAAGCTGTTTTAAAGGACATATATCTATCTGATGTGGTTCAGAGCAGAAACAACATTTTCCAGGCAACAACAGAAACAGAACAATACTTTTTGCCACATCAATCAAGTATCATATTTCTTTGGGGGAAGTCACTGAAAAGCGTTCTATGACAGCTAAAAGACTGGAGTGAAGAAAATGCAGGGAGCTTCCCTTTGAAGTGCCTGGAAAATTTACAAATGGTCTTTTGTTTAGCAGAGGAGACTGAAAAACCTGTTTGTTTACATTAATGCAAAAAGAACAAAGACAAGTCTAACTGGGGATATAAGCTATTCTGGTCTGAAGTTAAAATGGTAATAGAACCACATCTTCTGAACTTGAACTAGAACTTAAGAGTGTATGATATAGAAATATTTACATATTTGCAAGAAGTAGTGTTTTTAATTTTCTTGGCTTCTGTAAGCTTACAGAATAATGTTGCATAATTTGGACATAGTTAAGAACGGGTTAAGAAACCCAGTTCTATACCAGTGTACAGTACTTGCCACTGGCCATAAGCTCACCTAATGAGCAGCAGCAGGCAGCTTGACCAAAACAGAATCTGAGCCCTTGACCTCACTTATCTGTCCTCACTCCATGGGCCCATCCTGACCTGTGCCTTAACCATCAGCAAGGCTGCAAATAAGGAAACGCTCTGTGAGGACTGTGCTGTCCTCTTCCAGAGCTGGTCCTGTGTTAGAGGGAAGCACCACTAACTTGTGATGTGCTCACCGAAAATAAACTGCATGAATAAGTAACATGTTTCTGAGCTGACAAACCTCAACTCCAGCAGTGCTGAACAGTCCCAGGGAGCTTGCGACCGTCACGATGTGGCCATGATTAATTTCTAGCATCGTTGGAAGAAAGGCCTTAGTAGTCTGAAAGAAGTAAGACGCAGGCTTTAGAACTGACATGTCAACGTCTTTTCTAAAACCCAGAATCACAGAACAGTCTCTGAGCTGTAAAAATTACATTTCCCAGTTCATTTAGAAACATCCTACATCTATCAAAAGGTGACACTCCTTTAAGTGTCTGGTTAACTTAGCACCATATCATTGCCCTGCTAGGCCTATTATAAGCTGTGACCAACAAGGCTGTAACCCAAGAGTGTTGAGTGTCCAGAGATGAAAAGAAGGTCATTAGGAGAAGGCTCTTTATCACCTTTTGAACGACAGGAGCCGGCAAATCTGAACCACTGCTGGGTCAGAGGCCTTTTTCCGCTCATGCCATGGTTCAGCTGTGTTCTGGTTTGGGAGCAACTGCCAGCCTACCTACCAGCAGGTGCCCCATAGTGTTAGTTTCCTCATGACGATGTTTCCATGGTGACATTCCCATGAATGAAGAGCCATCCTTGTACTTACTCTGTGTCAGCACCCAAGGTTTACAATCAAAGTAGACTAACAGGAGGTGAGGTATTTATAACATAAAACTTACAAAGCACAGGACACCATTTCAGTAAAAAAAATCACTGCCAGAATGTAAATGTGGCACTGCTGGGCACCTGAGGCACTCTGCAGGGTCACACTCCAAGTCTGCCCACTCAGGGTGGCAGAGGCAGGGGCGGCACAGGCTTCTTACTCAACTCCTGTCTCCTGTCTTCAAGACACAAGGCTTTAGTTAACAAAAATCCTTCAAATTGCTTAAGATGATTTATAAACCATCCCATCAGGCTCCCAACAGTTTTATAACCTACTTCTTAAAAGAAAGCAGCAAAGAGCAATCTGTCTACTGTTGAGTTATGGTCTACTGCCAGTGCCGGTCCCCAGGATTTATGAAGTTAAAAGACAAAACACTACACAGCCTACTTGAAGAAGAGCTGTGTTCCATTTCAGACACTTTCCTGGCTAAGGTATCAAGTCTGAGCATGGATTTCTAGTGTTTGGATAAGTCGTGTGTACAAGATCAAAAACACTGGTGCCATTAATTTTGAAGCTCTCCACACTGGAATTCATGGAGGGGCTGCCAGATGAGTGTTCATCAAGCATCTCGAGGTCTTCCCCAGCCGGCCTCTTGGACTGTCACAGAGCACTCCATCCTGCTTTGCTACCCATGCCAAACTCATTCTCTGCTGCCCTCGTTCCTGTCCTACATAAACTAAAGTATAATATTAATCACTTATTTATCTAGTTCTAAAATGAGTTTTAAATGCTTCATATCACTGGAATTTCTAATAATGTCTTTACTAATTTTTAAAATTCAGATTATTCTTTCTGGAGGATATTTTTGTCTTTGTGTATGTGATATCAGAGATTGAAACCAGAGCACCATATAGCATGCGTATCGCTCAAGCACAGCCAGGTCATGCTGTCTGAAAGTATTCTAGACCAGCTTAACTTTATCTAAATTTCTCAAAGTTGTAGTGTAGATCACTCACCTTAACACATCACTATATATTTTAGTTTTTTGATTCTGATTGTTTTATAGTTACTTGTCTGACAGTCCCAACGAGCTCAGAGGCATAGATCAGTCAGTCTTACTGGGGTGGACCCTCTCATGCTGCACAGAGCCAGCATACAACTGCTGTCAGAAACAGCAACATTTTGGTTCCATTGTGTTTCTTTGTAAATAGGAGCAGGGCAGTTATGATTCTAATACTATTTTGGTCAGCCTGATACCTCAAAAGAACTGGTTCTTCAGGTCATTTATAGGCTCTAAAACTTACATGTGGTTGCTATGTCACAGAGCTGAAAAAAAGCAGTTTGGAGAGGAGCATATACATTCTGAACTTAAAGTAGAAAATAGTATAAGGTCTTAAGAGTTCTACATCTTCTAAACATCTAGTTAAGATTAATATTTATAGATTAGGTAAAAAGCCTAAGCTTGTATTTTAGCTTTGCTCATTTAAAAACTTTGCATATGTGTGAATGTTCTCTGTATGTGTACCTGGGAGTCAGTGAAGGGGTGGTTAAGGTACAACACAGTGCACGCAGAAGCCAGAGGTCAACATTATGCAGAGGCCAGAGGTCCACATCAGGTGTCTTAGCGTTTGAGGCAGGGCCTCTTACTAAACCCAGAGCTTACTGACTGGCTGGACAGGCTGAATGGTGAGCTCTATCCACCTCTTTACCCCACCAGCAGCGTCTCTTTTTACCACACCACTGTACTTGGCCTTTATGTGGGGACCTAAACCCAAACTTTACAGCAAACACTTTGTCAACTGATCATTTTCCCAGCTCCAGGAAAACTTATTCTTCATGTTCACCTGAGGTCATTTCCAAGGGTTTATGAGCCTACCAATAAATTCACTGAGAAGGCATTTGCTATACCATCCCTACTAAACACTCCCGTGTATCCTAACCCACTTCGAGTGTGCTCAGAGCACTTGTGTCAGCTGGGCACAAGGGCAGAACAATTATAAAGATCAGAATTCAAGGCACAGTTCCTTCTGAACATACTATCATTTCAAATTATCAAAAGTAAAAGGAGCCTAAGTCAGACTACTCTGAACTACAGGGATTGTCTATATTATGTTTGCCTGGTGTTGAAAGACAGGGATAAATTTAGTGCCTTTTTAACCTTTTGTTTTAGAAGTTCTTGCTGTAGTACTATACAAGGACTTGACATTATATGCTAAGAAACTGCACACAGTCGAAAACACCAGCAAGATCTCAATCAGACCCTCTGGTTTAAGTGGCTGTGGTGGGCAGCAGACGGAAAACCTATGTACAGAGTAGGTGAGAGCCCGACAAGGATCATGAGCTAGGGTCCTGTCTACAGGATAAGCAACTACTCCAGACCCCCAGCATGGAACTAAGGCAGCTAACAGCATATTGACAAGTTCCTAACTAGGTGTCAACTATAATTTGTTGCAAAGTTCTGAAACTGATTAATGTTCCTTCCTCCCTTCAGAAAGGAGTCTGGCGACATTAATGTATCCAAGTAGTAAGTATCTCCTCAACATCCATTATTTGCAGGTACTTTGAACCGAAGCTTACATGTCCTTGTGCATCAAAGGGACGCCAGTTAAAAGTTACCTTGCACATGAGCCAGCTGCTCCACAGCACACACACAATGTGATCCTTGCACATGAGCCAGCTGCTCCACAGCACACAAACAATGTGACTTGGGTCTAGATCTGCGCTGGTGTCCCCGATCCATCCCACCCACCTGCAATGTTGTCTGGAAAGTGAAGCCACTTTGTGTTTAAGGGAGGTGGGCAGAAATAAACAGTCCAGATATGGCCAGATAATTAACATCTTTATGTATGTACTACGAACACACTATAGCAGACAATGATTTGAGTGGCCAGTAGTACGATATGGGAGGAGTGTTGTTTAGATCGGAAGCTTTTTGAGTTTTAATCATGAAAGTCGCAGTGGGCCAATGTTCAATGTAAAGCACATGCTTTCTTCCCTAACAGGTGCAGGCCTCTGTGTGGGGGGAAATGGAATGGGCCTTGGTGCAGTTTTTGCTTAGAAGGTGTCCAACTGTAGGTGTACACTGACTCCTGATGATGCCCATTACAATCATGCTGTTGTTGACACTAAGAAGTGAAGATACCTGAGGCCACACAGTCAGCCTGCAGGTGTCCTGTCACTTGCAGAAAACTCTTACAGGCCTCCCTTTGCTAAGAAGAGACAACTCAGGCAATGGAATCCACATCAGGATCACTCTGCTGTCCCCAAGGTCTGTGCTTCCACCCCATGAAGTCCAGTAGGTGTGACTGCACAATGGTTGTTAACCATTTCTTTGCTGCCTGAATGGATATGGACAATGGACAGCTTGCCACAAGCAAACACACCTGAGGTATGAGGCACACTATTAAATAAACTTTGTAAGAAACTCTTACTTTGTAAAAAACAAAAAAAAAAACCAAAACAATAACAACAACAAAAAAAACCACTACTGCAAATTGGTGACTAGAAAACATGGCTTTCTCAAAAGTAAGCCGACTGGTTTTCCTTTCTAATAGTTCTTGCCCTCAACATTCTGCTAGATGGCATCTGAGATAGCACATTGTATTCCGTCCTTGACACAGCTTGACAGCACAAAGAAACCTGGCACTTTGCAATGAATTATTAATGTGCACAAATGTTGTAGCATGTGTGAGCTGGAGACCAGCAAAAGGTGAAGTGCTAGTTGCCATGACACCAGTCAGTTCAAGCTAAGGTTCATGATCTTTACCTTTGTCTCAAAGAGTCATTATAGGTATATAGGAGGCAAATTGGAGCCTCACACTTCAGGTATGAACTAGAGCATATGCTCCATGTCTGATCTCAAAGGGACCACTCAGAGAATCCACTGGCCATCAAGCATGTGTTAAATCATCTGTAGAGACAGAGAATCTACATGGGTCTTTCAGCCATACTGGCTGGTTGGACTTGTTAGCTGGCTGATGCCCATGGTAGCTGATGAGGCTTGCTAGATCCTGACTTAAATTAGACAACTGCTGTCTGCTTCTACCTTCTTGTCTATATGTCTAAAAAGGAAAAACAGGAACAAATCTAATGCTTCACTAGAGAAGACCCAATTGGTCACAATACCAACAACTCTTATTTGAAACAAGGAGGTTCAGCATGTTTTAGAGTTGGAAAGATACTAGGTCTGTTTAGTGTTTGTCTGCCTCCCCTACCCCAACTCCCCCGCCCCGCCACATACACACACTCAGACTGTAAGGTGTAAAGACAGAACTTAATAATCTGATTATTTATCACAAGCCTCTAACACCACAACTTGCTGACAGCTAAGGAACAGTGGTTGATTAAAAGGAAAGGAAAGTTCTGGGTCCTGTTTATGTAACCAGTCTGTTAGTCTATGTCTTTTTATTGGGGAATTGAGTGCACTGATGTTAAAGAGATATTATGGAAAAATGATTGTTGCTCCCTGTTATTTTTTGTTATTAGAAGTGGAATTATGTTTGTGTGGCTATCTTCTTTTG